CACTGTGAAGCCGTGTTCGGACCCCGAAACGAGTAAGGACCCCTCACCCTATTTCCTATCACGGTATTAAAGTTCAAAATGATAAAACGGTATTTCTTGAATTAACGAATGTGTGAAATTGCTTAAGGTGGCTAATGGAGCCCGAGTCTAGTGTGATTGGTGATTTACTGTTATTTGGCCTGTTTACAGCTTTAAATGCAAAATGAGGTTTGATGTGTTCATTTTACAGATTTGTGTGCATATACTACGTTTTTATTAATCATGGGTTGAATGACTGAAAAACTAATACTGTATGTTGTCTGTTTGGCATGAATTACTGTTTTGCTTGTTTGTATGTGAATTGATGATGCTGACTGAGGAAAAGGAAAATGAAAGATTGTGTAGACTGATAATTATATTATGGGGGTCAGCCTGACTAGATATCCTGGGAGATGGTGGACGGACCGGGTCCGTAGGGAACCCTACCGGGATTGTGGTCTCACATGTCGGACGGGGTATGGAGATCTTATGGTTTTGGCGCCTATACCGGACGGGGTATGGGGACGGCCCGTTTCACCCTCATACCGGACGGGGTATTGAGGTTTATGGTTTTGGCGCCCATACCGGACGGGGTATGGGGACGGCCCGTTTCACCCTCATACCGGACGGGGTATTGAGGTTCATGGTTTTGGCGCCCATACCGGACGGGGTATGGGGACGGCCCTGGAAACTGATTATGAATGTTAAAGGTTAACGGGTAGCGAAACTCCTATGGACCCCCACGGATACTAGTAGGCTGGTAAATGAGAAAAAGATATGTTGTACAATGATTGAATTACAAGAGACGCGATAAGTGTTATGTTTTACAGCTTATATTATTCCATGATTATGATAATGTTATTGTTTTTCTTATATTGTTTTCATAAATTCCACCGAGGTAAGTGGATGGTAAAGGTTTTCATGTTAATAAACGAGTTTGTTGTAAATTATGCTCCATTGGTCTTTTTGTGTTTTTCTACCCACCTTTACCTCCGTGACGGTGAGATATCGTGATGTTCTTACTGGGCTAGTGTAGCTCACTCCTTATTTAACCATTTCAGATCAGGAAGACATGGTTCCCGAGCCCGTTCCGCAGGAGGACGACGAAGGGGATGCCTAGAGACTCTGTAGTCATACTCATAGTTTTATTTTCGAGTTTCTCTCTTAGTTAGTTTAATCTTTTATATTTTAAGTACGTTTTTGGTTTTTCGTGTAAGGGATGTTAACTGAAATTTTGATATCGCTTCCGCATTTGATATATTTAAATACTCATTTCATTTTAATATTTCCGGGGCCGTTACATTACTTAACCATTTCAGATCATGAGTACTTGGTTCCCGAGCCCGTTCCGCAGGAAGACGGCAAGTAGATGCCTAAAGATTTTATAGTTTTCCTTATAGTATCCATTTCTAATATTTACTTTAGTTAGCTTATTCTTTTATACGTTTAATACGTTTTGGTTATTGTGTAAGGGATGTTAATCAAAATATTTTATTTCGCTTCCGCATTTAGAATTTTTATATATACATTTCCTTTTAATTTCTGGGGCCGTTACATATACATCACAGAGAAATACAAACTCATACACTTCCAACAATCACTATCTATACTATTACTAATTTTTACACACTTTATTCCGCCCACAAAAAGAATCATTGCTCTGTTGTGCTATATGCTATGCTCGGAAACCAGCAACTCCGATCCCGGCTCTATCCCTACTTCATCTGTAAATGATAAAGAATGAGTACATATAACTCAATATAGTAAAAATTAAGTTACAAGTATCATATGCAACAATAGGAAACCTAGTATTTCTATATGTGCTCTATCTACACAACCTAAGCTCAAGCAATTCAGGCAACAGGCAATTAAACTCGCCTCTTTTCGCACCTCAAACAGTTAGGCCCTCATTGCCGGTTGTGACTCACCCCTCGTATGAGTCCTCTCTTCACTCCTCCTCTCGTCGTACTCCAGTCTCCAGCTTTAGTGTCGCCGACAATTAGCTCCAACAACGACTTTCACTCGTTTGCTCTCACTCTCGAACTTTAATAGCTCTAGTCTCCAACCTCTCACCTTAAGTAATCAGTATAAGTTTAAGGTAAATTAAATTAAAAGAAATGTATATGGTCTTCAGTTCAGTCTTAAGGTTAGAAATTTTTTATCCTGAATTCCAGATTAGTCCACTCTAACTCGATCTCAAACTGACACACACCTCCTGTCAAATCTACAACATTTTATGGAGGAAAAATACCAATCATACAGGCAACTATAGAAAACTATCAATCTCGTGGTCTTAAGTTACTTAATCCATATATATGTATCTATATATTAATATATATATATATATATATGCATATATAGAGAATACAGGAAATTTGGTAGGAGTGCAATCATGACTATGGAATAAATCATATATATATATACAGAAATCACAGGAAATTTATGAGAAGATGAATTACAATTGGTTGTTGTTATATAATTATTTGTGAGTATGACAAACACAGTGTTACAGAGTTGGTTGAACAATCACCATCTTGAAAAGCTTGGGGGAAGAAGGAGATACATATAACTCACTGCATGCCCCCAAGTCCTTTTCCTTCTTTTACTTTCACACCACCCCTTTTTTCATTTCTCTACATTTCAAAACTTAAACTCCAACGTGTGTGTATATATATATATATATACGCACACACACATATACCTATATATGTATTTATACACACACACACTCTCTCTCTCTCTCTCTATATATATATATATATATATCTCTCGCGCACACAATATATAATATAGTTTATTAATTTCATGTTTTAGTTTTAATTTGTACGTTAATCTTAAACTTTTTATAAGTACATTTTTTTTTCTTAATTTAATCGAAAAATAATAATGATTAAACAAGAGTTTTAAAATGTTTAAAAAATTTGGTCAAAGAATTTTAATTATAAAAAAAAAAACTTTAATGTACTTTATAATTATTAAAAGTTAAATGAACTTTTAATAATAAGATAAAATTATCTAAAGTATTTTATTTTATTTTTTTTTTCATTTTTCAAGTGCAAAATTTTAAATTTCTTTGACCATAATATTTTAAATTAATCCAAAGAAAAAGTATGATATTATTACATTTATTTTTTAATTAAAAAAGCAATTAATCATCATTTTAGATTAGTCTAAGGCTCTTATTTACTAAATATTTTACAATATTTTAAAATCTAAAATCATAAAAAGGTGATATATACATATATATATATATATTTTGCAATTTAGATGGTATTAAATTTCTTTTAATCCTTTCATACTACTAATTTGATCGATTAATGCCAATGACCCTTTACCCATTTTGAAGGTTAAAAATTATGTGACTTTTCTACCATAATAATGCATATATATATATATATACCATATACATATACATATACATATATATGCATTATGGGTTCATATTTTTATTTTTCACGTGTTATATGCCATAATTTAGCTTGATGGTTAGATCATTATTACAAAAAAAAAGTCTCAATTTTTTAAAAATCACGATATGGAAATTGGAAAGGTGAAGATATATAATAAGGTTTAAGATAAGGGAATTATCCTCAAAATCTATGCATCAATTGGTCCATTATCTAATTCTTGAAAAAAATATATTTCTTATTATTATATATTCAGTGAATTTCATAATTAAAAATATATCTATATGTGTAAGTAATTACATAACTTGATTTAACATCAAAGTCATCATAGCGTACATCACAATTCAATTACAAATGAATCGATATTCACATTTTTATTATTTATATTTTCAATACATACTACTATTTTTCATGTGATAATATAGTTATTCAAAAATATAAATATAAATATATATAAATTTTGGTTATACCATGTAAATTATTAAATTTTTTAAACAATTTTATATACTTAGATATGCTCTAAAAAAATTTATATTTTTATATAAAATAATTAAAAAATTAAATCATAAAGTAGTAATTTTTTTTTTCCTTAAAAAATATACAATATTGGAATTATAACAAACTAAAAGAAAAAAAAAAAGGTGAATAAATGGACCCGTTCCCGCTTGATTGGGTCGGGCTCAATCCAAGAAACCGCCTGCTCATATATGACCCGGACCCGAGCCCAGTAAGGAGTATTGGGCCTCTGTAATGGGCCTGTTTGGACAAAAGCCCAAAAGCTCTCTTCGTTTTCCTTCGTCCGTCTCCGCATTCTCTCCTTTTTTAACTTTCGACCCTCAGCAGCTCTTCTAAACTCCTCAGTTTCACAGTAATGGCTTCCCCTTTAATGATTTTCACATGATTATCAGGTAACTAATTACGTTTTTTTTTTTTTTTCTCTCTTTTCATTTTCCCTCCTATTTCGATCTCAAAACATCACATTTTTGTTCTTGATTTTTTAAAAATCCGTATCTGATCGATTAACTTCAAGCTATGCTTCTTCCTCTTTTGTTGATTGTTTTTTTTTTTCTTTCTATTGATTTTTCGGTTTAAGTTGTGATGAAATTGAGGGCTGAATGTTGATTGGGAAGAAATAACAATGACGCAACCGTTGGTGATACTCGCAACTGCCAGCTATGATCACACCATTCGCTTTTGGGAAGCCAAGAGTGGACGTTGTTATCGTACAATTCAATATCCAGACTCTGTTAGTCCACTTTTTTTTTTCTTCTTTTTTCTTTTTTCTACTTCTCATAGTTTGGTAAAGTTTCCATCTTTATGTGTAAAACATGTGTGTATATGTATGTGTGTGTGTGTTTGTTTCTATATATGTGTATGACTTCCAATGAAAATTTAACTGTTGGATCTAGTTTCAATATGGTGTCTCTCGCCATATTTTTTTTCTTCTTTTTCACTGAGGAGATTGAGATACTGTCTAGAATAGGTAAAAATTTAAGCATAGAAACTTTTGCAGTGATTAGTAGATATGATCATTATGAGCAAGGAATGCGGTTCGGTTTGATCCCCGTTGAACGGCTTGTTTTTTTATTTGAGATTCCTCTTTAATTACTATCCACCTTATCAGATTTTAGTTCTTTTAAGTTGTGGGTATGGGGATGAGTAGTGGCCAATATTAGAGATTCTAGATGAATC